AATTCAATTTGAGAACTGCAGGGATTAGGTATGAGAAGAGGGAGTGCAAACTGGCAAATGGAAAGTTTGGACAAAATATACTGTCTGGCAAAATCATCTGCACAGTGAAGAATTGCCATCTGAATATCCATAGGGTGAATATGGGGCCTAGGATTAGTATCTGAAGGATTAGTATCACTGTCTTCAAACAAGTCTTCATATGGGTCAAAAGCCTCATTTTCCTGATTTGAGGCACTTGGATAGAATTGATTCTGTGTGTTTTCATCATTTCTGATGACTAGGTATCTCAACCCATAATCCATCACTTGTAACTTCTGAAGGAAATATAAGGGAAGCTCCCTTTCAGAGCTTGGCTGCGTGTTGTATACAGAAATCTTGTTGATGAGATGGAAGTTAGCTCTGCTCATCCTTCTTGGGTAGTAATGTTCTAGGCCTAGACACTGAAGTAATTTTAGGAAGGCTGTATGTTCTATGACTTCCCATTTGCTATTTCTATTATCATGTGGTTCATGAGGTTCTTTCCTTTCATAGAAAATACTTTGTAAGTTTTTTCTTATTTCATCTTTTTGCAAAGAAGAGATGGTGGCTTCATAATTACCATTAATGAGCAACCTCAAGTCTCTCTCTAGGTTTTCCCAATCCTGATCTGCTCCAGGTTTGGAGAGGACATGGACAACTTCTTTTGACAAAGATTGGCCCAGCAGATGCCTTAGTAATGCCAAGCGTTGTGTTTTTTCCTCTGGAGATACAGCTGTGACTCCAACAGTAGCTGAAAGTCCTGTGAGCACCAGGAATGCCTGAGCTCTGTAGGTGCAAATATTTTTGAGCTCCTGGTATTTATCTTGGGCAGTTTGCATTTCATCCAGTAGGAAGTCTAAATCCTCACACCCCAAGAGATACTGAAACTTATTGTTTACCACATGATACCCTGAACCAGCTGCAATGGAAAGTAGCAAGAACTGTGTGTCTGGCTGCTCTGTTTTTCGGAGGTAATTCAAGAAGGAGCCAAGAGAAAAAGTGACCTCATAAGTGGCCTTTTTTTGAGCTTTTTCCACTGTTTCTGCAGACTCAGATTTGGCCATCACTTCCCTGAGGGCATTGTTAGTTTTCTTTAATATTTTAATTAATTCAGAAAATTGGGAGATGTTGATGTGCTCTTCTTCTGCCTCTGGCTGGAAGACCCACTGCATGATGGAACGAGCCTGAGGGAAGTTATTCACTCTGTAGATGTGAGGATCCAATAGGCTGCGCAACTGACATTTAATAAACTTAGTTGCATAGATGAAATACTGTTTGCAAAAGTTAACAGTGTTTATCAGAAAATTCTGCAGACCCTCATCTGTAAGGCATATGTTAACCCAAGTGTCATAACTTTTTATTTTTTGACTCAACATTTGCTTGAAATTTATCAGTTTTTTAAGCTGCTCTTCAGGGTCAGATACCTCCCAGGATTTCACATCCTCTAGGAAAACCCTAGCCTCCTTCTCAATTCTCAGTAAGTCTTCTCCATCTTGGATCTGGGCAGTGAGGCCAGTCAGAGCAGTGTAGTTATCTTTCAGTAAGCTAGCCACCTGAAATGGATCCTTAAAATCATTTCTGTGGTTGGAGAGGATGATGTCCCAAATGGGCACCAGCTGAAGGCCCCGGTCGATGACACTCCAGGTTTGATTACTGGCAACTAGGCCAGCTTTCCATTGGAGAAAGCCATTTGCTTCTGGTGGGCCACCTGTCTGGGCCACAGATAATTGGACATCAGTTTGGAGATTTTGAGATGTTGTGCTTTTGGTGTTAGTTTCTGAACTAGAGTATGACCCATCCATACCCCCAGCAACTTTCATTCCAAGGACACTGACGCTGCCCCTTATGTAACCATTCAGGGCATTTGCTGACAGCTTTTTTACTTCTTTCAGCTGCTCACTTTGGAAACCCTGTGATGTAGCTTTCCACCAGTAGATTCCTCCCAGGTGCAGAGGGCCCTGGTTAGCATGAGACCCAAACCTGTGGAAGAAAGCTTCAGTCTTGCGCCTCAGCATGGGGAGTCGGTCTGGGCCTGCAGGCTGATGTAGAAGGTCATCAATGCATTGCAGTTCCTGGAGAGCAGCCTTGGAGAACTGGAGCTGATCCATGGGAAAGTGGCAGGAGGCAAGTGGGACATAGCTGAACTTGGTAGAGCAGAAATAGGAGGTCTCAGAACGTGATTGTCGGATTTTCTTGGATTCTGAATGATAGCTGTAGTCCCCACCAGCTCCCCAACGTCCGCCCTTGGCAGAGACAATTACACTGAAGCCCAGCTTCTCTGTCATCTGGATGAACTTGGATTCTTCTTGAGAAGATGTAAATTCCCTGGTTACCATCTGAATGCTGTGCTGAGGGCCAAATAGTAAGAACGCCTTGGGGACACTGATTAGCTCTTCTATAGTCTCTAGAAAACTCTCATGGGAGCTCTTTTTGTAAATTCCCTGCAGGGCCAGCCCTCCAGATGCCCATTTCACCAGATCTCTATCTGGGAGGTTTTGCCTCTCAGACAGTGTGCCCTCCGTGACATTGAGTTGTCCTTGCCTGTGTTCCATCACTTTTCTTAAGGATTTCTCAGGGTGTGGCCAATATTCTTTGGGAATCTCCATTGCTTGCCTCAGCTCTGCCTCTTTTTTCCTCACTGCCTCTTCCTGTCTTTTCCTCTCTTCTGAATGCAAGTCTCTTATCTCCTTTAGTGCCTCTTCTGATGTTTTCTGTTCCTCCTCTGTTACTTTCACCTGAGACTCCTGTAACTTTGAAAGGCTATTTGAGTTAAGTAGCTTCTCCAGAGCCCTTTTCTCCCAGGGATATTGTGCCTGGGATTTCAGCTTCTGGAGTTCTTCTTCTTCAATGTGTTGTAAGGCTTCTGCATAGATCACACCCAGCTGTTCCTGCAGCTTTGGCAGCCAGTACTCAACTGCTAGTCCTACTTCTCTCAGCATCTCTTGGAGATCTTGCCTCCTTTTGCCTCTCGGAAGGGGCTCATCAGAGGTGGAGTCTGCTGTGTCCATCACTGTGGAAAGAAAAGACACTCAGTTAGCCTGTGTGATGACCTTAGGAGCTGTCAGTCATCTCAAAAATATGGTAAGAGTACTAAAGATGCAAGTCTCTGCCCTGGCAGGTGTGTTTTGTGGTTAAAGCATTGATCTACACACCAAAGGATCATAGGTTTGATTCACGAACAAGGGCTGTACTAGGGTTTTGGGTTCACTCCCTGCTCCCAGTTGGGGTGTGTGTGTCCTTCCCTCTGCCTCCATCACTCCTTCCCTCCTTTTCACACTCTCAGAAAAGCAATGGAAATAATACCCTCAGGTGAGGATTAACAACAACAACAACAAAATGCAAATCTTTAAGGCTTTCTCATCCTTTCATTTCATTGTTTTATAAAATATATTAGTGTTTTAAAAATTTTTTGTTGTGTGTGTGTGTGAATGCCTCCACATGTGCACACATAAGACATCTTTGTGGGTGTTCTCAACATGGACTGCTTTTGTCGTTTTCAGATTAAGTTGCAACTTAATAGCCTGGCTTTTGGCACTTCCTATATAAACAGAATCAATTGAATGGAGAATATTAAGTGGACACCAATTCCACTTAATTCCTCAATCAGTTTCTATCAAACCTGTGTTGAATGGTTCCCTCATTCTTTTTGTCACTTCTTGTGCAATTTTATAACATTTATTTACTATCCTGTCCTTTAAAATACAGTTCTTGACATCAGCATTATGGTGCATAAGATGTTTCTCTTTTTTGTCTCCCATTTTATAATAATTAATTAGACAACTATCCCCAAACAAACATGACCCTCTGTGTGAAGTTTGGGCTCATGACAAGGAATATGAAAGAAGTCTTGCCTCCCTGTTCATCTAATAATATGCAGAAGACTTCAGTGTGGACTATGGAACCAGCAAAGCCAGCAATTCTGTCCAATGGTCTTAGCATGGTTGGAAAAACCTTTTTAATGCTCCTCTGAGCAGATGCCCAAAGATGAGAGAGAATTTGCAGAAGTCTAGTCTTTTCAAGGGTAGATTTCAGCATGAGTTTGGGGACATTGCATGGATTGAGTTATCTGATGGTGGCAATTTCTCCAGTGTGGAAAAGGAGAGTGGTTAGCGAGTGCCTGGCTACCCAAGTTGTGTGGGACATGACTTGAGAAAAACATTGCTTTCCAGCAGCACTCAGAGTGCTGTAGCGGGACCTTTATGACCAGGGGGAAGGAAAAGATGGGAAAGAAGCAGAGGAGAATATAAAAGGGAATTAAAGGGATAAGGTTCCTAATGATTTTGTTTGGACTTTAGCAGGAAGGCCTTCCAGTTCTGAGAGAAACTCACCTGACGATCTCCATTCTATGTCAGCAGCTGCTAAAAATGCCCCAAGTGCTAAGCTCAAAACTCCCCTTTACTGCAGACACCCCCTTGTGTGCACTCCTGTGTTGAGCAGTGAGAGCTAATCTGGAAAATGTAGTGCAGTGATTCCCAAAGTGGGCGCTACCGCCCCCTGGTGGGCGCTGCAGCGATCCAGGGGGGGCGGTGATGGCCACAGGTGCATTTGTTTTAACTTTTTTGGTATTACCTTTCTATTCTGAGTTCAATAAATAGTTTCATAATTTCAAACTTCAATGTTTCTAATTTACACCTTTCTTTACTATATTTTATGAAAAGGGTAGAAACATTAATACATATATCTTTCTGTTTAATTGCTATTAAAATAAAAATAATTAATTTCCAGGGGGCGCTGAGTAATATTTTTTCTGGAAAGGGGGCGGTAGGCCAAATAAGTTTGGGAACCACTGATGTAGTGGAATCTGAAAAGCACAGGAGGATCTGTGTGCAAGGGAGAAACCACACACGGGCTATAGCACCACCTTCTGGAAAACAAAAGAGAAATTTCCAGTAGCCAGCCTGGTGTGTTGTAAGAACTAGAGATGACTTAAAAGCTTAAGAATTGTGACACAGAGAGAGCAAGAAGAGTGGAGTAAGTGTACCTATAGAAAAGCAGAGAAAACCTAGATATAACAGGACCAATGAACAGGATAGCCCATCTGAAGGCACTAGTAAAGATTTAAGAAGGTGGTTGCTACTTCAAATGAAAAGCAGGAATTCAAATCAAGGAAACACATCATCACTAAAAAAATAATAATTTTCTAATAACCTAGCTTAAAGTCATGGAATTTTGTGACCTGGGTGACAAAAATCAAAATAACTTTTTTAAAAACTTAAGAAGCAACAAGAAAACTCAGAAAGAAAATTTAACAAAATTAGGGGAAAATATGTGAATAAAATGAGATATATAGCAAAGAAATAGAAAACATTCTATAATTATGTAATTTAAATTTAATGAGTGAAATAGTAAAGGCAATAGAGAATCTCTGTCCCAAAGTAGAGCAAATAGGAGATAGAATAAGTGAATTAGAGGGCATGACTTTTGAAATAATCCAGTTAGCAAAGAATGAAGCAAAAAGAAAGGGGTCTAAGATAGTAGCAGAATAAGTGGAAGTTACACTCATCTCTTCCCAGGTTCAAACCAGAATTACCACTAAATTATAAAATAATCAACCCAAATAACCAACTGAAAATTATCTCAAAAGAAGACTTATAACTAAGAAATATAGAAGAACCTACATTGAGACTAGTAGGAAGGGTAGAGAAACAAAAAGGGCTGGACCCCAACCAAGTGTGGTGGTTGAGAATCTGGAGGGATATATATCAGTTGTATAGGTACTCCCTAAGGAGCAAGATGTCTCAACCTGGCCAGCCTGGGCCTGTCATGCAGACTTTCTTGGAAGGCCCTTGAAGAGATCTGAGCAGACTCTGGATCATAGAGATGAATGGGGACAGACTAAGTTGTATGGCTTTGGAATGAAGCCAATTTACCCCTTGCACATCCAACTGGCCCCACTGTTTTTTGCCAGAGCCCTCCCTCCTCATGGCCAAATCTTGATCTGCTTTAGCCAGATGATCTCTACTGGCCTCACCCTGAGGACTTCCCAAGACCCTGTCCCACTACAAAGGTCCACTGACCCCTGGCAGGTGCCTCAGGTCTTGGTGTACCCTGAAACTTGCTGAGTAGCAGCACACATAGCATAGGCACTGAGTTTGAATCTGTATCAGCCTGTTGAATATCACTCGCCCCTACCTGTACTCACTGAGAACCTACCTAACTCAACTTGTGTATAGCCAGAGGCTCTTTCAAAGGCCACGGGCAGGTGGAGGAGGATATCAGGGTGCCTTGGGCCTTTTGTTGACCTGATCCTAAGTCCAGTGCTGGTGGGAGCCAGCTTAGTACACAGGTTGGCCACTCCCACATGCACTCAGGCTTAGCAGAGGCAGCCACAAGTTGTGGGTCCCTTTATATCTTCAAACAGGTAGCACAGGCCTATTCACAAGCAGTGCCTAACATTGACCTGCATCAGAGTCACTCCCAAGAGGCCCCAGAACCAAGACACATATAATAAAAATGCCAAAGGTTAAAGACAAATACAGATTCTTATAAGTTATAAGAGAAAGACTATTAGTTACTTACCAGGGAGCTCCCATAAGGCTGTCATCTTATTTCTCAACAGAACCATTTCAGGCCAGAAGGGATTGGCTCAAAATATTCAAAGTGATGAGAAGCAATGATCTACAACCAAGACTACTCTTGCCAGCAAGGTCATAATTTAAAATGAAAGGGGAAATAGTTTCCCAGACATAAAAAAGCTAAAAAAATTTATCACCACCAAACCAGTATTACAAGAAATGTTAAAGGGTCTTCTTTGGGAAGAAAATATAAAAATTTATAAAAAGCTAATAAAAAAATATGGGTGGGGGGGAAATGCTCATTGACAAGGGCAAACAGTAAAAGCAGTATACCAACCAACTATAAAGCTAGTAGAAAGGTTTAAAGAAAAAAATACGGAGATCATGTGTAATTACAATAATAAATTAAGGAATTACATACACAAAAAAAGTGTAAAATAATGACAGAAACTTAAAAGTAGAGGGGTAAGTAAAAATTGTAGTGACCTTGGAATATGTTTGAACTTAAGTAACCATCAATTAAAAATAGACTGCTTTAAACATATACACAAAGCACATAGTAACCACAAACCAAAAATCCATAATAGATATACAAGAAATAAAAAAGTAATCTAAACATATCATTTTTTATAATGGCATACAAGTGGAGAGAGCAAGAGAATAAGGACGGAACTGACATACAAATGGAGAGAGCAAGAAAATAAGGACGGAATGTTGAAAAACTATAGAAACAATCATAAAACAATTAATGAAATGATAACATACCTATGAATAATTATTATATATAAATAGACTAAATGCTACAATCAAAAGACAAAGGGTGACTTGAATAGATAAATGTACAGGATCCATACATATGCTGCTTATGAGAGACACACTTCAGATTGAGACACACAGAAACTGAAAGTAAAGGTATGGAAAAAGTTATGTCATGTGAATGGAACTGAAAAAAAAAAAATCTAGGGTAGCAATACCTACATATGACAAAAATTGACTTTAAAATAAATGTGATAACAAGAAACAAGGACCTTTTATAATGATAAAAAAATCAATCCAACAACAGTATATAAATCTTGTAAACATCTACACACCAAACATAGTAACACCTAAATATGTAAAGCAAATATTGATGGATATAAAGGGAGAGATTGACAGTAAGACATTAATAGTAGGAGACTTTAACACTCCTCTGACATCAATAAATAGATCATCCAGACAGAAAATCAACAAGGAAACAGTGCTGTTGCATGACACATTAGACTACATGGACTTGATTGATATTTTTAGGACATTTCACCCCAAAGCAGCACAATATACATTCTTTTTAAGTGCACATGGAAACTTTTCCAGGATAGACCATATGTTATGCCATGAAACAAATTTCAATACATTTAATAATATTGAAATCATATCAAGCATCTTCTCTGACCATAATGGTATGAAACCAGAATTAATTACAAGAAGAAACCTGAAAAACACACTAACACATGGAGGC